TTATCATGGTAAAAATGTCATAATATATTTTATTTATTATTTTTACATGTGAGCCCCAGACTTTAATATGTTCCTAAGATATGTTGATATTATTTGGTTGATCATGATCTTGTTGGTTGAAATATGTTGAGTTTACTACCGTATGGGCAAAAATTGAGTTTATAAATGAAGCCTAAATATATGGAGTAATATGTTTAATTTTGGATACCAAAAAGGGTTATTATAAATTTTGATTAAAGGAAATGAAAATGATAGTTAGGTGGAAAAGAGGGTATGAATTGATTGGTTTTATGAAATTTGTGGAGGTTATGAGAAATCATTACTTATGAAATGATGTTACTACCGGGACGTAGTATGTTCGAGTTATACCATGAGAGTTGTTTGGTATGAGCAAAGTAACACCTGGGTTTATGAAAGCAGCAGAAAGTGGTCTGACCATAAGGCATTTGACATAAACATATGGATTGTTAAGTTATAAGAAGCAGGCAAGGGAGAGGGGTCTGACCATAAGGCTTCAGAAAGTAAGACATAGTATATAAGTGAGGTTAAGAAGCCAGGCAGAGGAGCGTCTCTGCATAAGGCTTCATGAGTAAGCATGGTACAATTGTAAGATTTATGGAAATGGGAAAGATGACTTTGATAATGAGTGAATTATGACATCAGAATAATGATTATTTTATCAATGTACAAAAATACATGATTATAATATTTTATTACAAGTTAATGATTTATGATAGGTTGGCTACCCTTATTTGTTTGTACTATGATCTATAAACTCAGTAATGTGATAGATAATGGTTGCAAGATGCGGTTGAACAAGTCTTAAGATGAGAAGAGCGTGTAAGGGTAAAAACTTTCAGGGGTTTTTGTAAAGAATAAATTTGTATGGGGAAGATTATGTTGTGTAAAACTTATAAGTTGAAATTTCAATGGTGAAGACTATATTGTTTAAAGTTTGAAGTTTGGTATTTACTTGGATTAAATGATAAATAAGTTTGATTGTTTATAGAGATATCAAATTAATTTAGTCTCTACTATCAGTAATACCCTTTAAAATAGTAGGGTGTTACAAATTTGCAACATATACTTCATGAAATCACCTATATGAGTGTCAAGCATGGCCACTTGCATTATATCTTGGCATCATTTCTAGAGCACTCATGAATATCAGGCACACACATGGCCTAGTAAGCGCAACATATAACAACAAGGATTGTGCGGGTGTATTGTGATTGAAAGACCTCTAACAAATGTTAAGTATCCTTGGTTCATAAATCTTGCTATACTAATTCTGATGCAATATATTTTATAAAACCCATGATTATTCTTTCTTTCTTACAATCTTTTTTCTTCTCTTTTTCAATATGTGGGGAATTGTTGTAAAACCTATGCCTTATATTGCAAAAGGCTACTTTCGAATATTACGAAAGAACATTGCTTTATGAACATTATACCACCTAGAGTCAAATCCTTGCCCACAAGGATCATATATGGATTTTGTGTGAACGTTTTGAACAAAACCACAAGGTGTGGACATAAACTACAAGGTTCTTCCGTAAGTCAAGGAGTTTGCTCCCAACATTCTTTTTTTGTTTGTTGAAACTGGTTTTTACCAAATCCTCATGCATGATTCTTCCTCTAATCTTGGGTTGTAAGATGGTTCACAAACTCTATAAATAGAGGCTTATGCTCACCTCCAAAAGACACACACTTCCCTCATTCTCCTTTTCCTCTTATTTTCTTCTTTCTCTTTTTTCTTTCTTATAATATCCTTGGTTTATCATTTTACTACTTTTAGAGTTCTTTGCTAGTTCTAATATCCTTGGAAATTTATGAAAAGTTCATGTTATATCTTGGGGGACTTGCGCAACACACCGCGGATAAATCCTTAAGAAAAGTGGATCCACACACATCGAGAAATTTTGTTTGTGTTTTTTGTCACCATTTTACAAAATGATAAATATTAATTTTTACTTCAAAAATAAGAATAAGAAACACCAAAGTTATACATGTCCCACTTTAATATCATCCTAATATAAATTGTTACAATTAAATCATGTCATTCGTCCCAATTTTTTTAGAGAAATCTCAAATAGGTCCTTTTTTTATGCGTTTCAGTTTTATCTTTATTTTGAGAAATTTGATTCAATCAACCTTTTCTGTTAGTATTATACTAACAATGTTAAAGAAGTGTCACATGTTAGTTCTTGGTTTATTTTATTTTTTAAAATTTTTAAAATTTAATTTTGAAAAAATAAAAAAATTTCACATGTCAAACTCATGTCGTGTCATATGACAATGACAGTGTGATGAGTGATATTGTCACATGTATCATTGTTTTAGTATAAATTTGATTTCTATATTTTTATTTTGTTTTAATTTAGTTCAAATTTCTTTTAAAATTTTGTATTTTTTCCTTCTAAATTAAACCAAATTTAACTTTTATATAAATATTATTTAAATAATTTTTATTAAACTTTATTTAAAATTGTTTTAAAATTTTTAATTTATTTACTTTAAATTATTACAAAATGTTTTTAAATTATTCTAAAATTCTACATTTGAATTTATAATTTTGTTTAAACCAACTCAATTATTTATATAAAAATGATTGAATTTTACACATTTAAAAAATATGAAATAATTTGAAATATAAACTCAAATTTATAAATGTAAATAATATTTAATGTAAAATATAAATATTAAAAGAATTCAAAATGTTGATAAATTAATTTAATTTTATAAAATGAAATTATTTTGTATTTTTTCTATTATTATTTTCTATTAAGAATTTTAAAATAATTTTAAATAAAATTCAATATAATGTATAAATTTAAATAAACATAATCTTTGTTAATTTTTGTAATAAAATATCAATTTTAATAAAACATTTATATAACAATTACATAAAAATTAAAATTGATTTTAAATTGAAAAATGAAGAAATTAATCAATTTAAAAAGAAATTAAAATTAAATTAAGACAAAACAAAAATATAATATTTAAATTGGGACTAAAACAATCACCCTTAACATGATAAAACATATAAAATAATGTTACTATCACGTTATATTGTGATTATCATGTAATATGACATTATGTAACAAGTTTTTTATTTATTTTTAAAAAATTAAAATTAAAAAAAAAAAACAGAAAATGACATGTAACACCTTTTTTTATCGTTGTTAGTACATTATTAACAAAAATTACTTACATTAAATTTTTAAATTAAAAACTAAATTGAGATAAAAAAAACTTATTTAATATTTTCTTAAAAAAATAGGATGAAATTACATTATTTAACCAATTGGTACTAATATCTCAAACTTAAATTAAAAACAAAAATATACTCACTTAATTGTTAAATTATTTTTAGTTATTTTACATCTCCAAATTACAAAATCGATTTACTGTGTGGATTGCATGACGTTGATTTTACTGTCGTTTTCTACAGCAACGACTTCTGACCAATTCTTATAATTTATAAAAGATCACTCAATATTTTATCATGTTTGAAATTAAAATGATTGTTTTCTTATTTATTGTTCAAATTGTTAATACTCTTTATTAATTGAAAAAGGATGTTATAATGCTCGTTATTATCAGTAACTTTTTCTAAAAATTATTTAAAAGAATTTGATACCCTGTATATAAATTATTATTAATATTATTATGTTTTTTAAAAAACCCTTTCTCCTCCAATCCACGATACAACCCACACTGTCTCAAAGCTATCCAAATTCATAAGTGTTGTTGTTAGTCTTGTTTCTCTTCCTGCTACTGCCTTTGTGTTAGAGTGTGTTCTAACTCTTCCAACTCAATTCACAGACACAAGAGTCACAAAATAACCATCTAATCAGTATCTTACAGAAACAGTTTTTGTATGCTAACGGTTCTAAATCACACCCAGCAACATTAATCTAAAGCTTTTTGGAGACTGGGATCACATCGGTTATATTTCATAGCAACAGACCTTAGAGCTTCATTAGGGTATTTACAAGGTAGGCATGGTTATCACTTTTTGCTTGTTTTATGAAAGGTGTTTGATGATATGTCTCAAAGACTTTTGGATCTTGTTTTCCGATGTTAGATCTTAAGGGAAATAAGCCATGAAATTTTAATGACTTAGATGTTTCTTGGTTGCATTTAGTGATTCATTATGTTGGTATTTTTTTATATTTTATATTAACTGCTGTTTATGAAATTTCTCTGGATGTTTGATTTTCTAGCAGAATGTGCACACGGTATTTTTGTTGGTATTTTTTTATATTTTATATTAACTCCTGTTTATGAAATTTCTCTGGATGTTTGATTTTCTAGCAGAATGTGCACACTTTATGGTATTTTTGTTGGTATTTTTTTATATTTTATATTAACTGCTGTTTATGAAATTTCTCTGGATGTTTGATTTTCTAGCAGAATGTGCACTCTTTATGGTATTTTTGTCCCGTTGTGATTAATGGCCGGGTACTGCATATAATATACACTTTGTCTATCCTCAGATGAGTATTTTGAAGTATCTGGAGACGGCCAGGCATAAGGTTTTTGCTGCAAGAAAGTATCATAAAGGTAAATTTAAACTAATTCAGCTCATACAAACTAAATTTCGTATCATCTTATGCTGAAAGCAGCACATGATGAAACTGTTGTTGTAGTAAACTATTATATGCCCATTTCAGTGAATTGGTTTTTCGTTAGATGAAGATTGTTAAACCCAAAGATCACCATCAATTGATACTTGGATGGAAATGTAGAATGTTAATGGGTTTCCCCCTAGAATATTATACATTTTAGTAATGCAGAAATAAATTATTTCAGCAGTTCTCCCAAACAGATTCACGGTAAGGGTTTCTTCTTCGCCCTTTTCTCACGTGTTTGGGTTTCTCGTCTATTTTGGGTTCGTTGTTCGTTCTAGTTCGTCATTCCGTTATGGATGTGTCATTCCATTTTGGCAATCGGGTTCGTATTTGCGTCGCTCATTCTCCTTGGCGATAGGCCTTTAATCTCTTGAAAATTTTGTTATAAAAGCACAACAGTAATCAAAGTTAAATAAGAAAATTCATTCTAAGTTCTGATTGTGATCCTTTTATTTTTTAAAGAAAAAAATATACATTATGCAGTCAAGCTTTTATACAGAATTTTGAAGCATCAACGTATCATTGTTTGTGTGTGAAAGGAAGGAATGTAATTCGTTATTTTTGGATAGTGAATTAAACCTAGTTACCATATTGTTTTTTTTTTTTTTTCATTGCAGTACTCGGTTTTTCCTCTTTCCACACAGCTCCAAATTCCTCTGTGGAACTTCACTCACAAGAAGAGGAAGTAGTGATTGCTTTGGGAAGTAATGTAGGTGACAGGCTGCACAACTTTAAGGAAGCCTTGAAGTTGATGAGAAACTCAGGCATCAACATCACAAGACATGCTTGCCTGTATGAGACAGCCCCGGCATATGTCACTGATCAACCTCGATTTATCAATTCAGCAGTTAGAGCTGTTACTAAACTTGGTCCACATGAATTATTGTCCACGCTAAAAAGAATTGAGAAGGACTTGGGCAGAACAGATGGCATAAGGTATGGTCCAAGGCCAATTGACTTGGACATTTTATTCTATGGTAAATATGAAGTCAGTTCTGATATCCTCACTATACCTCATGAAAGAATTTGGGAAAGGCCATTTGTTATGGCCCCCTTGATGGATTTATTGGGATCAGCTATTGACAGTGATGCAGTTGCTGCCTGGCATTCATTTTCAGGCCATTCTGGTGGACTCTCTGGATTATGGGAAGATTTAGGCAGTGAGTCCCTTATTGGAAAGGAAGGTATGTATAGGGTAATTCCTGTTGCAAATGGGTTACTTGATTGGTCACGGAGAACTTCTGTCATGGGGATCCTTAATGTGACTCCAGATAGTTTCAGTGATGGGGGAAATTTCCTGTCTGTGGAGTCAGCTGTTTCTCAGGTTCGGTTAATGATTTCAGAAGGAGCAGATATGATTGATATTGGGGCACAGTCTACTCGGCCAATGGCTAGTAGGATCTCTGTTGAAGAAGAATTAGGTAGATTAATACCAATCCTAGAAGCTGTAGTGTCAATGCCTGAGGCTGAAGGAAAGCTCATATCTGTGGATACTTTCTACTCTGAAGTTGCTTTAGAAGCAGTGAGTAAAGGGGCTCATCTTATAAATGATGTATCTGCGGGGCAGTTAGATAGTAACATGTTTAAGGTAATGGCAGATCTTGATGTTCCTTATGTTGCAATGCACATGAGGGGGGACCCATCTACAATGCAAAATAGTGAAAACCTGAAGTATGATAATGTCTGTAAAGAAATATCATCAGAATTATACTCACGGGTCAGAGAGGCAGAGATTTCAGGAATACCAGCGTGGAGGATTATCATTGACCCTGGCATTGGATTCTCAAAGAAAACCGAACACAATTTGGAAATCCTCTTTGGACTACCTGATATCAGAAAAGAGATTGGCACAAGAAGTTTGTCCATATCTCATGCTCCCATGCTAATTGGACCCTCCAGAAAGAGATTTTTAGGTGAAATTTGCCCTCGTCCTGCGGCCGAGAGGGATCCTGCTACAATCGCTGCTGTCACAGCTGGTGTTTTAGGAGGGGCTAATATTGTTAGGGTGCATAATGTCAAAGCTAATCTAGATGCCGTGAAGCTATGTGATGCAATTCTAAGACAGAAAAGTTCTCACATGAATTCTCGACTTTGAGTTTGTCTTTCTACAGCATATCTGCTGCCAGTGTTAATTTCCAAGCTACCTGAGTATTTGGATTTATGCAGCAAGAACTCTGGGTGTTGTTCTTTGCTATGTCACTCCTACTGCAAGGTTTTCCGTAGAACACCATGATGCTGCCAAAGCCAGAACAGAGAAGTATCGAGTACAATGTAGCATTTAATAATCAGCAGACCATTGTTCAATTCGAAATTTTGTCTCGTGTTTATCCCATTCCTTTTTGCAAAATGACCATCTAATAGAGGTAAAAGCCAAATAAAGATGATAAGTTTAAAGCCAAACTACATAAAGGTTACAGACTAAGTCTAGCAGTAGCTAAGGACACAACACCTCTAAAAATGCTTGACCCTTTGATGTCATAAATCTTCAACATGTGCGGCTGAGACATTAGGCAACTCTCACAAAATTTGTTCTGCAGACAGAGTCTATCCCAGCCCATTCAGACATTGTTTATCTCATTCCTTAACATGTATTTGATTCACTGATTTTATTCAACCCTTCATTTGTAACATGTTGATTCTCAGATTTTGTCTTATTCAACAATTGATGATTCCTCCATAAAGTAGTTTTATTTCAAAGAAATACTAGTATCACATTTTGTCACAATTACTTTCCTATTGCTTGAAATTTATGTTAGTCCCACTAAATATATGAATCACATCCCATTTGGTTGCCCCATTGTCAAACTAGTGAGGTCCACATAAATTTTAGCCTATAAGAAAATGCATTGAAAAGTGTTGTATAAAAACCTATTACAATCGGCTTAGTATAAAGATTTGAAGTAGTTTGCAGGAGGATAAAAGTTCAAACTCAATAAATTTACTATATGCAGGAGAGTGTGTTGGAGAGTCCAATGATCCTGTTTTCACTATTTTTACATTTCAAACACTCAAAAAGTGATGTTAAGTTTTCTAATATAATCTTTGCTGCTGAAAATAATATATCTCCCTTATGCATAATCTTAAAGAAGCGAGATACTTCAATTAACTTAACCCTTCTTTTGGGGGACGTAAAGGACAAGGAATAGATAAAAAGAAAAAAAAAAGCTCTGTCAGGGTAAAAGGTAAAAGGGCCAGGAATGAAAAGGGTAAATATATAAAATACTCTTATCTGGATGTTTATGTATTAGATAAATATATAAACAAGCAAAAGTTTTGTACAGTGAGATAAATTATGAAAATGATATTCATTTTCAAGTCTCAATTTCTTCCTTAACAATATTTTAACATAAAAGTGATGTTGAGACTTTTATTATGACATTTATATATAATTTCATATTCAAGGAAACAATGTTTGTAAGACTCATGGTGTAGAAACAACTTTGGTAGCAAAGGCAAAATAAGTGGGGACTTCAGGCAAAGATTTTGCACAGCCAGATCAACTATGAAATGACATTCATTTTGAAGTTTCAATTTCTTTCTTAACAATATTTGAACATAAAAGTGTTGTTGAGACCATTACTATGACATTTATATACAATTCAATGTCCAAAGAAACAATATTTGTAATACTCATGTGCAGAAACAACTTTGGTAACAAAGGTAAAATAACTGGGGACTTCAGGCAAAGGTTTTGCACAGCAAGGTCAACTATGACAATGACATTCATTTTCAAGTTTCAATTTTTTCCTTAACAATATTTTAACATAAAAGTGTTGTTGAGACCATTGTTATGACATTTATATACAATTCTATGTCTAAGGAAACAATATTTGTAAAACTCATGTGTAGAAACAACATTGGTAGCAAAAGCAAAATAAGTGGGGACTTTAAGCAAAGGTTTTATGCACAACGATGTCAACTATGAAAATGATATTCATTTTCAAGTTTCAATTTCTTCCTTAACAATATTTTAGCATAAAAGTGATGTTGAGACCTTTATTATGACATTTATATATAATTCCATGTCCAAGGAAACAATGCGTGTAAAACTCATTATGCAGAAACAGTTTTGGTAGCAAAGTCAAAATAAGTGGGGACTTCAGGCAAATGTCTTGCAAAGTCAGATCAACTATGAAAATGACATTTATTTTGAATTTTCAATTTCTTCCTTAACAATATTTGAACATAAAAGTTATGTCCAGACAATTGTTATGAAATTTATATACAATTTCATGTTCAAGGAAACAATATTGGTAAAACTCATGGTGCAGAAACTGCTTTGGTAACAAAGACAAAATAAGTGGCGATTTTAGACAAAGGTTTTGCACAATCATATGAAAATGACATTCATTTTAAAGTGCACAATTCTGTTGTTCATACTTAATGGACTTATAAGTCATGTTGACACATTCATTGAGACTTAAGCCAAATATGTTGCATCTTTCATCATTTATTTTACATAGAACCCTGTACATACAAGATTTTCTAAATAATGACATCCAAATTTCATGGGGATTGTAGTGCATACATCGTAAACAATGATCATGCTCATCTTCAAATTTGATTATCAATAAATGTAACCGATACATTTTTTTGAACATTTATAACAAAAAATATGTACATTCAGACCTCATCAATACATATTCAAAAAGTTGTAAACAAAACATCAATCACATTGCAAAAATCCCTATTCAACAACATCTACATAAGGCCTAAATCTTGCAACACTTCATCACTCCGCATATTGTCCACATCCAAGATCCAATCACAAACATAGTTCTCCTTAACCTGTTGCAATTCCTCCTGCAAAGAGATAAATGCACAAAATATCAATAAAATGCAAAATCTTTTATCAAAGCTCCCAAAAATGAAAATTTTTATAATTTACATTTACGTATGTGGGCATTGTGTTGCCTTCGTATTTCTCAACGTCATCCCACAACTCCATAAATTTCAAAACAATAACTCCACAATCATATCTACATCAAACAAAGTCAAACATACAAATAATGTTATTTAACATATCAATGAAACAATAAATGTTTTTATTTGCAGAAATAAACATTAAGAAAACTTACAAGTTTGGTTGGCTTGGAGTGTGCAAGTGTGGTACCTGCAACGTAGTTGACCTGGTTGTGCAAAACATTTATCTGAAGTCCCCACTTATTTTGTCGTTGCTACCACTGCAGTTTATGCACCATGAGTTTTACAAAGAATGGTTATTTGGACATTGAATTGTATATAAATGGCATAATAATTGTGTCGAAAGAACTAAACCAGTAAATGGTCAAAAAAATTAGAAAATAATTTCATATTTTTCACCCAAAAATGCCATCAACCACTAAATCTTCTACCCAACGTCAACCCACACTAAACCATACCTTGAAAAATACCCAAAAAACACAATAACACATAAATGCCCTAACAAATTTAAACAAACTAAACCAACTTTTAATGAACAAAGACAGTCCGACCACACTTTAATGAACACCAACGCCTCTCGGTGGGTGGCACGGAGCAAGATGGGTGGGTGGGTAAACCTCGACGGCGACACTCCGGCGGACAAATGACCGCGACACTACAAGGAAGACGAACCACAATGACTGGGTGGGTGAGTAGACATAAACGGCGGTAGCTCAAAACGTGCCTTTGTCGGTGGCGATTCCAATCAAAGCTTCCAACGCCGCCGGTCACCGGAACAGACACCACTTCCTCATGTGGAACTCCGGCAGACCATGCTTGCACTGACACATTTCTGGGAAGAGGTAGGTTGGCTGGGTTGGAGGGAGCGAGACTCACTCTAGGGTTCGCTTTCTCTCTCTAAGCTTGGGTTCTCTCTTACACCTTGCCTCAGATTCAAAATCTGAAAAGAGAAAATGAACCTCCTCACTTTCAAACTCTTCCCCAAATTTTTTTTCCACATCATTCTCATTTTTAAATATTGTTTTCCACGTGAACCACTCACATTTTGACACGTGGTTAATGTCAAAATGTTGTCAAATGTTGTCAAATGTTGTTGTTAAAGTATCATTGTCCATAGAATAATGACCTACTGTTTACACAATAAAATATTATATCATTTTTAACTATGTTTAATTACATAATAAATTTAATTTATACTTTTCTCTCTTTTCTTCTTACTTCGTATGTTTTGTTATAAAAGAAAATCATGTAATTGTAATTTCTCCTTTAATATTGCACTTTTACATCAATGTTATTACACTTAGATTTTTGTATTTTGAATAATAATATAGCAAATACTTACATTAAAGTACACAGTTTTTTATTTTTCAAAATTAGAATTGGCTCAATCTCAATTACGAGATAAATTAATTTAGTATAAAAATGTCATTTGAAACTAGCAAATGAATTTAGGCTACTCACATGGGCATTTCACGTTGGAGAAACATGGCCCAAAATAATTGTATATATGTATGCTCTGCATGTACTCTTGTAGTTTCTATGTGGGTGTTTCATCCAGCATCTTCTAAGAGTTTTCATTCTGCAACTTCAATTTTTGTGTAAATGGTTATTATTATGGCATGTGGTAAAAACACTCAACAGTTTCAAATTCAATTAAATCTTAATTAGATTTTCAAATCTGACTAAATTTTTATCAAAATTTGAAATTTAACGAAGACCTAATCAAATTTTAAAATCTCATGAAGCTTCAATTGAATTTTGAAATTTATTGAATATTTTTTATTTATATTTTGAAATTTGTTTAACTCTTCATCGAATTTTGAAATTTAACTGTGTTTTAATTAGATTTTAAAATTCGATAAAGACTCAATCAAATTTCAAAATATAATGAAGTCCTGATCAAATTTCGCAATCAAATTTCGCAATCAAATTTCAAAATCTGATAAAAGATCAAATAAATTTTAAAATTTGTTTTAAGTTTTTATCAGATTTTAAAATTTGATTGATTTTGCATTGAATTTCAAAATTCAATAAAAATTTGTGAATCTTACAATGTTTTCATGCATTTGCTCCCGCGACCAACCTAAGGAGAATCACCATCAGTGTTATCTCTTCCTTGGAGAACCTCTCCACGGGTAAACAACATCAGTACCTCTCAAACTCACAACCCTCAACGCTTTGGAGATACAAAATATATAAAAAGAACATGATATTTTCGATATTTTGGAGGTGTAAGAAAAAAGTTTGAAGATGCAGGGTGACACGCTCTTTCTCTCTTCATCTCAATTTTTTTTTTGTTAAAGTACATATTTATACAAATGTTTAGGAGAAAAATAATATTATTTCATTTTTTAAATAAAATAAGACTAAATTAAAATAAATAAAAAATATAAAAATGATAATGACAATGTCAGATAACATATAGGAGATTTGACTCATCAACAAATTTTTGAAAAACAATTAAAAAATTTTTAAAAAGAAAAGAAACTTCGAATGGACGATTACTTGTTTCTAACATGGTTTATACGTTACTTACAAAAAAGGACTTCAAATATTAAAATTTGATTGAAATAAAACTATAAATAAAAGTCTACTCATAACATTTTAACCAAGATTTGGGTGAAACGAGTATTTAAGCCTTGGTTTATATAATAGCAATTACGACAGATAATCATTACCACATGTATATTTTTATAAGTTTGTGAAAAAAAAAATCATAAAACACACAACTTTATGTTATTATTGGAATAAAACTCAACGTATGATTGTTTTATTTATTAGTATATCTTTAGTTCAATGTTTGTTTACGTAGTATTGTTTTAGTACAAATTTAATCACATGCTGTACCTATATATCATATCTTATTTTAATAAAATATTCTTTATCTTTAGAAAAATTAAAGTTAACTCTTAAACAATCTAAGGTAAATTAAACATATCCAAACATAAAATTAAAACAGCTTAGCATAATTTTGAGTTTTTTAAGGACATGTTATTATCAAACATCATTTAAAACTTAATTATTCTTATATATATATATATATATATATATATATATATATATATATATATATATATATATAAAATTAGTTTTAAAGTTCAAAAGATATTTTTCATATGTTCAAATTTAATTTTTAAATTACAACTTACTTATTTATTTATATTTTGAAATTTCATTTTAAATTATTTTTACATCGATATCTTTATTATAAGATAAAATATTAATGAATAGTATCTAAAGATAATAACAAATATATCAAATTTTATAATTCATAAAAGTTAAAAAACAACCTATGTAACACATTTAAAATCTAAAAAAAATTATAAATATTATATAGTAAAAAGTAATATAAATTATTTAAGTATAAATATAAAAAAAGTAAAAAAAAAGATTACTTATCTACAATTATCTATTGGTCATAATTTAAAAATTAAATAGTAAATCATTTGAAATTTTAGAATTGAATTATTTAAACATAATATTAATTAAAAACATAAATTGAAGTCATTCAAATATAAGTCACAACTACAAATATGAAAATGCATAATCATACACACAAAAATAATATGAGGGTGGGGGAGGGGCGGGGGGGTCAATTGAATTATATACTTCCCTACCTGCATTTATACTATTATCATTTTAATACACTTTGTTATCCCTAACCATTGCTTATCCTCCTACTCATTTAGCACTTTCTTCAAAGAGTTAGAAGGAAAAAAATAGGGATGACTTTTAGAACGAATGCTTTCCCTTTACTTTGTTACACATAAAACTGATAATAATGTATCTCAAGTACAACTTTTTATCATTACATCTTCCAGACAGTTAAGCTGCTTTGGCGTCAAATAGGAGCAAAAAGAGATTATGGTTCAATTATAATCCACCAAATATTTGAAGCACAATATTCTTTTCATAAGAGCATGGCAGAAACAAAATTCTATTTTTTATGGAGAAGCAATCCAAAGTGGATTCTTTTCTGTTTAAGGACTGGCTGAACATTGAGAAACTAGAATAGTTCAAACTTGTCCGAGTAAGGGGTTTGTGGTATAGTACTAATCAATAGCCCTTGATAAAACCATCTATCCATAAAAATGTCAAACTGGATTAAGCAAAAACCATCTATCCATATATCTATTGTTACTGAGTCAGGACTTTGGTAATATGCTATTGAGTCATTCAGTGTGAATGTATACCATCATAAAGTAGTACAACTTTAGCAGATATGACATACTTCTGGTCAACGGCTTCATCGAATGCATCCTCCATAACTAGAGTGGAGTTTCCTTTGAGCTGACAATGACAAGGAATCTAATGATTACAAAAGGGTAGGTACTGCAACATTAACTATTTGTGTTTACAGCTGAGACAACAGGTGTTGGTGGATTTCTATACATTGGTGAACTGGGGTGAAATTTCCTTTGATTTTGGTATATCTATAAAGTTTGCTTAATAGGACACTCGAGATCTTCAAAATATTAATCATGTCTGCAGAGAATTCAACAAATAGACGATAATTCAACAAGGCATGTTGATAACGAAAAGCATTTCAGCCAGGGGAGTTCATATCGTTGTTAAGAGTTAGATAAAAAGATAAACTAAAGAAACAAAATTATCGGAGAGCTTATACGAGCTGCTGACAGAGAGCAATTCAAATGCTTAGACAGTTTAGTACAGACACAATCACATAAGGAATTTAGAGCACATGGTCTATGAGTATGTTCTAGTATTCATGCTTAGGTTTTCATGTAACCCTGCAAAATGTTTCTTTATATCGCTCTCAATCTCAGTACAGTCCACTTTAGGCACTTCTCAAGCTTTTAAGAATCACTCTTCCCTTTTATGCTAAAAATAAATTATATACACAAGACGAATCTAAAATTCAATGTAGATTAAACTCATACCCAACGGAATTTAACTTCTTTTCCAAAGAATGGTGGTTTCATTTCACTCGCTATCCTGTTTCATAATCTATAGAAATAAGTAATCATACACAAGATTTATCTCACATTACAAATGACCCACCAAGGTCAGCCTATTGATATTCTAGATTGTATCCTTACAAAATCACATTAGATATCCACTCACCAAGTTGCTCCGATTTGACAGATCACCGTAATCTATTGTCCTAGAACCTCAGCTTCAGCCTTGGCCATAGGATCATCCTTGATCTCAACTTCCTCTTCCTTCTCTCCCTCTCGCTGTTCAGCCACTTGTTTTCGGTGCAAATCCTCCGCCGCCTGCATTGCCGCGCGATTCTCCGCCTCAATCCGCCGCATCTCCTCCTCCTGCTGCTGGCGCTCAAACCAGGTATCGGCATCCGCCCAAACTGAAACACAAAACAGATATGCACAGTCAACCTCCCACAGAGAACACAAGACAAAGAACAGAATTAGAACATTCAGAAATTAGGGTTTAAGCATGAGTGAAAATAAGCATAGGATTAGGGTTTTTACTAGGTTGGGCGGCCCAGCCCTGTTCACCGCCTTTGATGCGTTCGGGGAGGGCGTAGTTGACGGTGAGGACGCGGCCATAGAGCTCAGCACCGTCCATGTTGTCCATGGCGGCGGTGGCATCTTCGCGTTCGAGGAAGGTGACGAAGCCGAATGAGCGGTGCTTCTGCGTGGCCTGGTCAAGTGGCGTCTTGACGTCCTTGATGTCGCCGAAGGGGATGAAGGCGGCGTGGAGGATTGACTCGTTGACCTCCTCCGCTAACCCTCCCACGTACAGCGTGTTTTTCTGCACCCCTTGCGTCATCGCCATTCCTACTACACTCACTTCAAAAACCACAACCACCACCACCACGACCTAGCGTCACCACTAACAACTAAAACCGTGTTTTCTGTTTTCTCTGTGAATTGGGCTTCTTCTGCTATCGGAAAGTTTGGGCCTCCACAGACTCAGTTATTTGGAACCAGAGTTTTACTTCTTGCCCCCCACAATTTCTTTGTACACCTAATCAACTTTAAAAATTAACCCTTTTACTCTTTGAAAAAGTGACTTTGTTTATATATTTGGGAAGTTTTTTGAAACAAGCTTTTCAAAAATTTTAAAATAAGATTTTCAAAACAACAGTTTCATAACATACTTTTCAAAAGGAGATTTTTTTTAATGAGATTTTCCAAACATAATTTTGGGGAATGCATGGAATGTATTTTGGAATAAATTTTCCAAAATGAGATTCTCTGTGAACAATTTTTTTGAAATGTATCTTTTTTTAGAATAAACTTTTCGAAACATTTTTATATGATGTATTTTGAAAAAGAACTTTTCGAAATATATATAATACATTTCGAAAAGAGTTTTCCATTATATTTCTTTTTTGGCATTTTTTCTTTTTTTCTTACCCTTCACTTTTCTTTTTCCTCTCTAGTTGATAGCATAAAAAGAGTTTGCGGTAGTCATTATGGTAGTGCAATTAGTAATTATGAAACTGCATGAAACAATAGCCTTGGAATAAAAAATTCTAATAAGTGACTAATTAGATTTTAAATTAGTTATTATCATTAGTTATCAAAGTTTTGGTCATAAAAAAATTATTGTTTAAATTGATTACTTTTCTTTTATCCCATTTGTTCCCACACCAATTTGCATCCGAACATGGAGTAATCTTTAATTCATTTCTAGTCTTTCCTCCCGGTAATAATATATAATAGGCATGTGTCTTTTGTAAGTATCTAATAATTCGTTTGGCTGCATTCATGTGACACCCTTAGACTTTGCATGTATCTACATATTACTCAAAAAACTATAACTTAGGTCTAGTTTGGTGTTTTAAATATATATCGAACTCCCAACTATCTTCCTATAATTTGTAAGATCTACAACCTCTTCCTCAGGTTCCTTTTCCAACCTCAAACCTATCTTTGCTGGTGTGTTGGCAACATTGCTTTTGTACATATCAAACCTTTTCAACAGATCTAAAGCATACCTTGACTAATGCATCACAATTCCACACTCAATCTCACTAAACTCAATTCCCAAAAAATAGCTTAGTCTTTCCAAATCACTCATTTCGAATTCATTCAACATTTTAGCTTTAAAAGCTGAAATCAATTCCTCATTGCTTCCTATGATGAGAAGGTTATCAACATACAAACATACTATCAATTTTTTGGTTTATCAGTATTAAGGCAACACTGCACATACAATACATGCTCAAAACACATTTTGAAACCTAATACTGCTCATGATGCCATTTATTCTCTTTCTAGACCCTTGAAGCTTGTTTAAGTCCATAAAGAGCCTTTCTTAGCATATACACCTTGTGCTTATGCTCTATATTTTCAAAACCTTGTGGTTACGTATACTTCTTCTTCAAATTTGTCATTCAAGAACGTAAATCTTACATCTAGCTTATGCAATGACCAATGGAAATGTGTTATTAAGGAAATTATTAACCTGATTGTCTCTATTCTAGCCATTGGTACAAACACTTCCCCATAATCTATTCTAGCTTGCTAGAGGAATCCAAATAACCCATTTTTTTTTTCCAAATCAATACAAATAACTCATTTTGTCCAAATAAGAAACTAAAACCAAATTTTGTCTAAATGACAGTACAACAAAAGTGTCTTTCAAATCCAAATAAAATCAATATTTAATAATAATAATAATATAAAATTTCCTACAACTTCCACCTCCACCAATTTCCATCTCCAATATATATCCATATTTCATAATCAATTGGATTTTGGTAGCTTAGGTAACCTTACATTGAAACACTGATGTTAGTAGTGACACCAAAGTCTAACAACCAGGTGTTTCTAGGTACTGAAGCTAAATTGACCGTAGAGTATAACAAAGTAAGAAACATACTTTTCTTTGCACGCCAAGCGTGATATTTGGTACATTTCTTCTTTACATGTCCAACCTTATTTCAAAGGAAACAATTATCCCCTTGATTTTGTTTCTTTTGTTATGGATCATTAGTAGTTTCATTCTTGGAATCTTTATTTTTCTTTCTTTTGCCTTTGTCTTTAGAGGTACTTACAAAATAAGCACTTTCTGTCTATTTTAGTTTAGTCTTTCTTCTTCTTGCACACAGTATAAAATGAGTTGATTAACAGACCATTTCTTCTATTTACAGTTGTAAGATACCTTAAATTGACCAAACTGTGAAGGATGAGAAATTTATACTACATGTATAAGTAAGTCTTTTGAGAAATCAAGCTTTAGTGCCTTAATTTTGAAGAAATATTTGACATTGTCATAATATATTCTCTCACATTTCCTTTGTCCTAATACTTCATGAAAATCAAAGAAGAGAACTTGTTTCCGCCTTATCGCTCTTTGCAACAAAAAGCTTTTCAATTTCAGTAAGAAAATCTTTGACACTTGTTATCTCTTCAAATATAACATCCCTAAAGACCTCAGGAATGTCGTGCTTAATGATAATAAGACTCATGTGATTTGAGTGATCTCACTTCCCATAATCATTCCTCCCTTAAGAGGTATTAGAGTCAATAAGAGAAGTGGATTTCTTAATCCTTAATGTAAGGTTAAGATCCATGCAACCAAGAACAATTTTCATGTTCTCTTTGCAATCCTAAAAATTTGTTCCAATAAGAACGGAAACCAAATTTAGATTAACAGATACTGAAGCAATAGTAGATGAATTTAAAACGAGACAAATCATATAATTAAGCTCACATCATTTGAATAATAATAATAATAATTATCATCAATATATTCAAATAATAGTCTCATCTTAAGATACTTAATGTAGCATTAATATTAAGTCTTTGGATAACAATATTAATTTTTAGGGATATTTTGTTATATTGATGAAACATTGATAATAAAACATGTCCAATAATAAACTTATTATTTGATTGATTTATCATTAACAAACAAAACCTCACAATTATCACACGTTTATTATCATAGGTATGTATACAATTCGACTAAATATTAATACTTTTATAGATCGATTAAATACTCACAATGAATAAATATAAACACAAATATTAAACATTTATCAATAACAATATACTAAAAAAAGTCACTTTGTGTAGTTCTTTATTCAATTAACCTATATACTAAACTATCAAAATCTATATATATAGGTTTAAACCCTCATTTGGTCCTCGTATTTGTGTGTCAATCTCAAGTGAGTCTTTGTTTTTTTTTTCGGTCTCAATCGGGTCCATAAACTTGTAAAAATGAGTCAATTAAGCCCTCTCCATTAAGTTATCACTAACGCCGTCTGCCTCTGATGACGTGGTGCACAGAAAATTAGCTCAGTTATAAGGATTTAAATACGTGGATATTAGTATTTTAAAAAAACTTTTTTACGTGACAGGGAATGAGGGAATTAGGGATTTTTATTGTGGTTTTTTAACTGAAACAGAAATACTTAAAGGGAATTAGGGATTTCATGAGTTAGGGATTTTCATTTGGTGAGTGAGTGTCAAAATTAGGGTCGGAAGAATTTTCGAAGACGAAGACAATCACAACAAACGTCACACAAGTTGCAACCCATTTGAAACTTTCTTCAATGTAAGCTTCCACGAATAGATACTCACAACCTGCAGCGAATGGCCACCGTTGGAAGAAGTTATACCGGGGACGCGGAGGAGACCGGAGGAAGAACGGGAGGGGTTGGTGAGGCGCACGTGGGGGCCGGCGTCATGGTCGGTGACAACGTGGGCGTCGCCGAAGAGGTTGATGTTGTCAGGGTCGATCCTTCAACATCCACTTCCCCAACTACCCCAAGGTCATAGGTACCCTTCAACAGAGTCCTCGCTGCCTCGCCACCTCGATGCCTCGTCGCCTCGACCTCGCCACCTCGACCCCGTCGCCTCGACCTCACTGCCTCGACCTCACCCAGCCTTATCTTGGTTGTAGTGGTGGAAATGTGCAATCCAAGCCAATCTAGGGTTGTTTTCATGAACACAATAAGTTTCTATGGGAGAGCCTTTTGAATCGTTGTTGGCTCTGAAGTAGGAGAACTCCATGAGTGAATTCATCATTCAATTTGAAAGATTTGATGGGGTTATTAAGGGATTAGAAAAAAAAAAATTTCTTCTTTCTTTTTCCTTGTCATTTTCCTTTTATTTTCTTAATGATTCTATCATTGTTGGTACTATAAATGAGTATAGTTTGATTTCCCGTGTAATTGGGCAGAGCAGTGTGATCTTCTTGCTGTCGAATGTATCGCGGGAAAGGTGAGTGTGAGAGAGATAAGAACTTCAATCCATCAAGCTGTAACAAGAAGCTGATTGGTGCAAGGTTTTTCGCCAAGGGCTATGAGACGGCGTTTGGACAGTTGTACAGGACTTAACAACAAATTAAATAAAAAATTTCACATAATATAATATGTATACATGTGTGTGCACCACGTCATCACAGTTAGACGACGTTAGTAAAAATTTAACGGAGATGACTTAATTGGCTCATTTTTACAAGTTTATGAACCTGATTGAAACTGAAAAAAAAACGATAACCACTTGAGATTAATACACAAATACGAGAACCAAACGAAGGTTTAAACATGTATATATATATATATATATATATATATATATATATATATATATGATAAAATGAACAATACGACACCATATACAGTACGTGAGTCACTAATTTGGAAGAGCGTGCATTTATGGAGGAAAAAAAAAATCGAGAATGCAATTCACATGCAGGAGTTTTGACCTTTTCCAAACTAAGAAAAAAAAACTTTAATTTGCTATTCCTTAAAAGGGAAAGCATCACGCTAAATTCAATGGCAAATTTTAACCACATGCTTACCTAATATGATAAACCCAATCCTTAGCTTCCATTATATTCCAATACAATTTCTTTGGCAGCGGACAACTGA